GAAAATTTTTATTTAAGTCATATTTGACATCCATGTCATTTTTACAACAAGTGACGGTAGCGTCGTCTCTTGATCGCTACCGTCAAGAATCTGGGCACGCCTACTCTGTGAGGTCAGAGTAGACTGTAATTTTCAGTATTGTGCCTGGAAAACGCATGATACTGCCTCTTTAAATCTGCCTTGTTCTACATTTAGGGACTAAAAATCTCCGACCGGAGGGAAGTAATTGAAACTCCCCGTGAAGAGGATGAAAATCATTACCCTGTTTAGCTCTATCTGATAACAAGTTTGCGGTTGTAACGTGACAAATGCAAAAAAATGTGAGGCATGTAAATACTGTGTCTAATTGTCACTCCTCCCAACAAGGCCATAAAAGGAAAACCAGAACCAGAGGAACGTGAATCTGGACGACTTCTTTCTGTGTCTGTCGTTTGTTTTTGTTTTCGTGTCTGTGTGATTCACTCCCAGCCCGAATGCATTTAGGTCTAGAAACACAGCCACAGGTGTTGGTCACTAATTATACCAGGATATTATTAGTCCCAGCCTGGCGTATAGCACTGTGCAGGGATCTGGGTTGCACAGAGCTCAGTCCCAACTGGGTTGCTTTTAAAATCCTGTGGAACAAGGCCCCTCTGTGGTGCCACTCACGTCCGTGTGTTTAAACTAGAGAGAAAGACCCTCTCTCACTCCCTGGGATTTTTTTTTCTCTCTCTTTCTCAGAAACGAAGGCTCATTCCTTCTTCTTTTTCTTTCCCTTCACATTATTGCCGCTGCAAAGCAGCAGCAACAGCGGGAACAATGTCCTTCCACTCTGTCTCTCGCTTTTTCACACAGCGCTCGCTGGAACGGGCACATCCACCCCACTCAATCATCCGCACACAAATGCAGGCGCGCCCCGCTCCTCGGCTCCCCGCCCTGCCCCTTATCCACACTGTGTATAAAAGCTGTATCGAATTGCACCTTGAGCTTAATTGGCTCGGCGGTACAGTGTGCCGCTGTCGAAAGTGACAAATCGCCCTTTCAGAGCCCCAGAGAATGTCTGCCCACTGCCATGTCAGGGGACACGGCGGGGGCGGGGGGACAAAGTTAATTGTCCTTCGGGCTCAAAAGATGTCGTAACTGCGGATGAATTCGTGGGAGATGCAGTTTGGAGCTTTCGGAGGTTTATTTATTTGCCTCGTTCCTCTATTTAGGACGGAGCCTGGCGGTGCAGAGGCCTCAGGGCGACGGACAGCGTGAGGCAAAGGGCCTCACGCTCCGTGTCTCTACCAGAGCGAAGCTTTTTCACAGACTCCTAACTGCTCCCTTTGGTCAGCTTTAGTTTGACATCTCCGCAGATTAACACAGACTGTACGAACTCGGAGAGTCACAGAGTCCTACGAAGGGATTCACACTTCCTAAATTCTTTACCTCATTTATTAAAGGGGCAAGATGATGCATTTTTCAGCCACATGGAATCACTTTACAGCACAAACTTCAGTTGTCATAAAAATGCTGTCTGTATTAAATATGACTTAAAACAAATTTGAATTTGTAATCTAATGCCTTTAAGTTGGGCCTCTGCTTCCTGCTTTCTCTGGAGCTCCGCCTTCAGGAAGTCGTCACAGCATTTCTCCACCATTAACCCTTTAACCCCATTTTTACCAGCGTTTCACTGAGAAGTAGCTGGTGAGGTCAGTAGAGTCTTCCAGGTGTTTGCTAATTTCTGCTGGCTAGTCTGTAGGAGCTGAGTGGGCGCGTCCCCTCGAAGGCGGAGCACAGCTGAGTGGTTGCCATGGTGATTAAGGGATTTCTGAGACATGCGTTAAAGAGTCAAGGCAATACTCCAGGCGTGTTTTTGATTAGGTAATAACATTGTAACATGATTTAAAGCCGAAAAAACATATATTTCATAATACTTTGACAATTGTACTCAAGGGAGAGTAAAACAGTATTGAGGAAACAGTTTGCTCAGTCATTTCATATTGAAAAGTTACATCATCAGACGGCCCAAAATGAAAGTATTTGATATAAATAAAAATGACAAAATAATAAAATCAGAAAAAGAATATGTTTTCTGCTGGATTTCTTTCAATATGAGAAACTGTAATGAAAACTGCATTGGCTATTAAACAAGCTTGTGAAGCAGTGGGTAGAGGATCCAGCAATTGCACTCAAGGCTGAGTAGTCAAAACACGTTGTCTGGTTGAAAAATTAACACAAAACTCACGAGAGACTACGGAGGACTTGGGACCAGCAGGACAGTAACCATGGAAACCAGTTCAGGTCAAGAGTCTGCGACCTTTGCAATCCTAAGAGCCATGTTTACCTCCAGTCCAGCTGATTAAGACTTGTTTAGAGCCCCAAATGTTAAAGGCCTTAGAAAATAAATATTAGAATACTACTTTAGAAAATATGTTAATTTGCGAAGATACCCCATTTTATTTGTGTTTTTAGGTTTGAAAATAAAGAAAAACCTAAATATTTGCAAAACAAGAAAAAAAGATATTGTCAGCGTGTTTCTGGATGCCGCGCCTCATACCTGCCGTTCTGATATCCTTCTGGCCTGCACTCATAACTCGCTTCTTTCATTTGAGTCTCTCACTGCTATCTGCGAGACAAGATAGCACACACACACACACACACACACACACACACACACACACGCACACACACTCACGCACACGCTCAGACACACTCACAGGCAGGAGGACCTGCTGAGTGTCAGTAAGGAAACAGCTGTGGATGCAAAGCAAGACGGCAGTAAGAGAGAAGAGAGCAGCAGGTGTCCAAGAAGCTGCTACTGCTGCTGAAGAGAAGGGAAACCAAGAGAGAAACAAAAGATTTATAGGGAAAGTCAAGGTTCTCCTTTTGTTTTCCTTTCTTTTTTTTCCTAGTAATTCATAGCATTAGCAAAATCGTCCACTTCCTGTGTCCGTGGCGGCCATTTGCAACCATCCACATATCATACCATCCATCAAACCGGCAGATTATCATCAATGTTTCCACTGACTCTGCTTCCAAATTTAGAAAAATTCAAAATTCCCCCAAATTTATTTAGCCACTAATTTACAAGGAATCTCAGCGTTTTCTTTTATAAGATGAAAGCAAGAATTACCTGGAGATGATAAGAGAGAGAGAAGCGTGTTTCTCTGTTTGTTTTGCTCTCCCATTGGCCACACTGGGACCAGAACATTTCTCACATTTCTCCCCTTCAAAGGAGCCGAAGAGGAGTCAGAGAAAAATATATGAAGCTTCTCCTCAGAAGCACTCAGCCATACTGAACAAACCTTATACTGGGTTTTCTCTTGACAGACCCAACTTTACCCGGTTCTAGTTTAATGCCACAAACCCAGTTCAATTTCAGGTTATCTCTTCCACGGCCAAAAGAAATTATTATGGATCCCTTAGTTTCTGAATCAGAACACGTCAGAAATGATCTGGTCATTAACACGTTCCCAAAATTAGTCCTAATAGTTTTAGGTTTTAAGTCTTGAGAGGGGAGAGGGGTTAATTAATCGCAGAGCTAAAGCAAAATGTCTTTTTAAGCTGATTTAAGCTGGTAACTTGATCACGATCCTCAGTGGAACAAGTCCTGAACACTAAAACTTACCAAGTGTCTCCATTAGCTTCTGGTGCAAATATCTCACCACATTTGAAATGAGACCAAACTAACTTAAAAGTAACTTTTCAGCAAGTTATGAGAGTTTGGTTTTAGTAAACAATTCCTCAATATTGATGAAAGCGATCGAGTTCCGCTGGCAGATTAATTGAACCAACAACATCAGGAAAATATCTTGGAATAAATGAAATAATCTGACTGTGAATCTAGTACTTTTTAAAATTTATGTTAAGGAATTATTGACTAAAAACGAGCTCATGTTGCAAGTTAGTTTTGTCTTACTTCATGTGTGCTAAGATTATTTCCACTAGAAACTAGACGAAATACTTGGTAAGAGTTTCTGTTATTCCGTTTTCGACAAAAAAGCGGCTCAGAGATGAAGAAGCCAAATAAACCAACGTAAATAAATCTGATTATACTTTGCAAAAGGGATTAGGGACGTCAGTTTTACCTTTTGGAAACGTGACCTATATAAGAAAGTTTATAAAGAATCCCCTCAGAAGTGTGTTTCTCCCAGTATTCCGGCAATCAAACTTTAAGTTGTGGTTAATGTTGTTTATGTGTAAACATGTTTTAACTGCATTTTAGTCCAAAAGGCCTTTCAGACTGATCATCCCAAAGCCGTCCATTTAAAAACAGCAGGTATCTTGACAGAGCGTCTTGGTGCGACGCTCCCTAAACATGGTTTAGTGTTCGCCGCGTTGCCACTCTCGCAGACGGAAACATGCCGTTTTACGGCCCCACGGGTTTAAACCGAGACCTGAGGAAACAGCGTTTGTAGCCGTCGTAAATACCATCTCAGCTATTTCTGAACGCCACAAATCATCCTCCGCTGAGCCACCGAAAACGCACGCAGCGTTACCCGTTGTTCAAAGTGCTGCGAGTTACTCTCTCCCCAAGTCAGCACCGTCCCACAAATCGGTCGTTTCAGCGAAGAGCATCTGTTGCGTCATAAAAGATAATTCCCCCCACGTTTCAGTGAGACACAGATGGCACGCATCAGTCAAACGTTTCTGGATGCTTTTTTTTTTTTTTTTCCTCCTGAGTCTGAGACATGACTTCATGCAGCCTCTGTGGGGGGTTTCTTCCTCTGTTTTCAGCAGATGCACCCTTCAGGTCCCCCCCGTTTCGGTAGTATCTTCCACTAAAACATCGTGGTTCGACGTGCGTCCACAACGACAGCATTTAACATCTGGTAAGACGCAGGAGCGGCAGGGAGGGAGGTCCGGTTTGTCCCGATGTGGCGATGTTTTTACAGCTGCGCAAGGCATCATCGCGGAGCAGCGAGGCGGTCGGCTGTGTCTTTTCCCATCTCCGTTCTCCGTCCCCCTCATGTTTCTCGTTCTTCATCATCTCCTAGGCGGCTCACTTTTGTCTTTCTCTCTCTGCCTCCCTCCAGACCTCGCCGACAACCTGGACGACTTCACCTTCCAGGAGCAGCTGCTGACCCCTCGGCTGGCCACCGCCGGGATGGGAGGGGCCCCGTCACCTGCGGCTCCGTTGCCGAGGAGCGGCCTGGTCCCCGTGCTGCCGACGACGCTCGCTCTCCTCACGCTTTGGCGCCACTGACGGACCAGGCCTTCTGCCCTCCGTTTTAGCTACAAATTCCTTACAAACACGTAGAAGGTGACGAATCTTTTGGACCTGTGAAACACCGACGGCCCCATCATTAACAACCAAAACCCTTCTTCTGCCCCCCTCCTACTCTAACAATAGTTTTCCTTCTTTCAAATTTGGCCGACAAACATCAAGCACACTCCATACCCCGTCTTGTAAATAAGAAAACCTCCAGCTGGCAAACTTTACTTTTTTGTACTCTCTGGCTTCACGTACTGACTTTGTCTCCATAGCAACAAGGCAGGAGAGAAGCCGATTATTTATTAAACTGTGGACATGTAAATAAGTGCGACCACTCTGTCTGTACCGACTGGTGGCCCGGCTGGACAGACCGAGCGTCAGCCGCCGCCATCTTCCAGCACTGGACCCGACGGCTGATAGGGAATCACCTTTTACTTCCAGGGAAAGTCCAGAATCGTCTGCAAACGAGGTTCTGCTGAATGCTTAGTGTGCCGTAAATGTCTTACCTGCAGCAGGAATCGATCTGCGTTTAACTCGAATTGGTTGATCCAGGCAGAAACTAACAATTGGTTCACGACTGTTTTTAAAGGGCCAGAACTGTGCCAGAGTGTATTGATAAAGTCCAATAAAAAAAACTCTGAAAATATTAATAAGTAGCTGCTTCTGCCTTTGATAAGTACTTCTTAATGGGGCAGGGTTGTGTAAAACTGACTTGTTTGAGCTTCTCGTCATGTTATAATGTTAGTACCTAATCTGTTGCTTTGATTCTTTCATGCAAGAAAGAATCAAGCTTATAGCTAAACATAGCTATAAGCTGTATAAAACAGACGAAGGGACAGGAAGCCCCATCTCCTCCTTTTTTCTAGGTAAAGTTCCTCTTCAGAGCTACCGTTTCCAAGCCCCACAGAGCTCCCCCCGCCACTTGGCTCCTTCAGACTAGCCTGCAGCAATTAGCAAACACCTGGTGGAACCGCGAGGTCTGCTGAGCTCGTCATAGGAGCGACTTCTCAGGGCAACGCTGGTAAAAACGTTGTTGGAGGGTTGATAGAGGAGCCATGTTGTGATGACTTCCTGAAGGCAGAGTTTCATAAAAAGCAAGAGTTTTTAAAGAGACAGACATCCGATTTCAAGGCATTAAATTACGAAAGTAACATTTATTTTTAGTCACATTTCATATAGTGTTTTCATAACAACTGATGATGAAGTTGTTACTTGACTGTGCCATAAAAGGCACAATGTACCTGGAAAAAACATAATACCGCTCCCTTAAAACTAAATACCACTGAAATGTTTTCACATTGATCTCTCCCTCCTGCATTTTGCAGTTGTTTGTGATTTTTTTGTTTGCTTGTTTTTGCAATTGAAATGACTTTAGAGACATTTACAATATTTCTCTTGATGCATGACAACAAATGTGACTTGTTGGTCACAAACTGGAGGGGCAGATCGATGAAATTCGGGACTTTGCAGATAAAAGCTGCTTTGATTTGACTGATACAAGAATATTTAAGCCCACAATTTATTATCCCAAAGGCACTGTTCATATCCATGTGTCTGTCGAGTCGAGAGGGCCACATTAAAAGTTGTGGTGGGCCGGATTCGACCAACATGGACTTCTACAAGTTCTGTCTGATGAGCTTTGTGACTTTTTCAGGCAGGTTCACAGAGAAACTGAACTTAAAAACACTTTTAGAGCTGGGATGTACGACTCTTAACTTGATTCCATAACTGGATCAGACTGGCTGCGTTGCTCTGTAAATAAGCTGGGTCTGTTGGGTCTCTTAAAGGGCCTTGAGGTGACATTTGTTATGAATCTGAGTTATACCAGTAAACTGAGAAGAATTAAATGAACCACGGCAGAAATAACAGGCAGACATGGGGATCAAAAGTTGAATCCAACAAGCGGAGGACTAAAATGGGAAGCAGAGAAACCAAGAAGAGTGACTGTTGGGGGGAGGAGCAGGGTTGCATCTGTTAAGAGACTAAAGTAGCTGAGGGAAAATGATTAATTGGTGTGGAATGGATCCACTGGGGAAACGGTGAGATCAGGGAAACGAAATAAGCCTCAGAAACATTAAGCATGACCAGAAATGAAAGTGATCAAAATATTGAAATGTAAGAATGAGAGACAACAAAAAATAACCCAGAAGTTCAAACCAGAATGACTCACTAAACTCCAACCACATTGTTGCTGGATAGTTACTCTTAAATGGACAGTATTATGACTTTTCCAGGCACATGGTGTCATTTTTATAACACAACCAAGCAAGTGTGGAACCTTTAGTTGTTATAAAAACGCTATAAATATCAAATGCGACTTAAAACAAATTTGACTTTGTAATTTAGCTTTTTGAAATTGAGTCTCTGTCTCTTTAAAAACTCCTGCCCTTCTGAAACTCCGTCTTCCGGAAGTCATGACAACGTGGCTCCTCATTTGACCCTTTAGCAATGTTTTCACTAAAGTTTCACCGAGAAGAAGCTCAGCTGATGCTCAGTTCCACCAGGTGTTTGCTAGCTGCTGCTGGCTAGTCTGAAGGAGCTGAGTAGGAGAGTCGATGGTTTGCCGGAAACCGCAGCTCTGAGGAGGAACTTCGTCCTCGAAGGCGGAGCTAGGTCCACCCCGGCGTTTCGCACAGCTGAATGGTTGCTATGGAGATGAAAGGATTTCTCAAACATGCATGAAGGAATAAAGGCAACACCCCATGTTTGTTTTCGACATGCTATAAAGCTAAAAAAAAGAAGCTGATCTTGCATGATACTGCCACTTTAATAGAAAATATTTCAATACATTTCATAAAGTAAGATCTTTGGTGTGGCGCCACTTCCTGTCTCTATTTCCTGAGACAGGCGTTGTTTAAATCTTAGCTCCTCCAATGAACCGTTAGCTTGAGCCGTCTAGACTAGCTAATCCGGATCGAAGATGCCAAAGAAGATAAGACATTAACTACTCATTACTTCTCAGCAGAACCTCGTTTGAAACATCTCCACTATCCCTATAAAGATACGTTGTTCTTTCAGAAGCCGTGCTTTAAATATCTCTTTTCAACTCTTGATCGTTCCTGTTTGGGTGTTTATATGATGAACTAAATGAATACTGGTTGTTTTATTTATTTATTTTTTTCTCTCTTCCTCACTCTTACAAGTAGAGTCTGCTTGGTTTCGTAAATCCGGTAGCTTTAAGTGTGTGACTCAGCCTGACAGTTGTACAGATGTGTGTGTGTGTGTGTGTGGTGTGTGTGTGTGTGTGTGTGTGTGTGTGTGTGTGTGTGTGTGTGTGTGTGTGTGTGTGGGGTGTGTGGGTGTGTGTGTGTTCTTGTGTTGGTGCCACGTTTATAAAAATGTGTTGATTTGCCATCTCTCTGCCGTTTGGAATGTGACGCTTCGCTATAACTTCCTCGCTTATCCATTCACCCTGTGCATAAAGCAAGTTTTGAAATGACACTTGCAGAAACGCTGCGACTCAGTCGTGTGCTTGTGTGCATTCAGCTAGCCGCCTTCTCAAAACCCTGATGTTTGCGTTTAATCACTGGGTCTCTTCGGGGTTTTTAGGCCACAAATCGGAAGTTCTGTTTCATGTTATTGTTTGTTTAATTTAAGTGAGATTTTAAAAGGAAGTGTGGCCCAAAAACGCCCCCAAAAAACCAAGAGCAGCTCCCGTGTTGTTTGTACTGGAGAAGGTAGGATGGATGTGCAGAGAGTCAGATCTGCAGATTTGTCATATCAAGACAAAGTGATTATAAATCAAGGCGCGGCATCCTTCCACGCTTGCAGGTTTCCCGCTTGCAAGCGAAGCAGCATTTCCACACCATTTTCTGACTTGCTTGCTGGAAAGTAAGAATAAACCAAGATGATTTCACTGTTTGGGTTTCTTTTTAGTCATTTTTAAGTTCAAATTACTGTCTGTTCAAAATAAAAAGTAAATGAAATGTTACAATCTGCAATAAATCACATGGGTTTGCAGGGGAAAAAAGAAAACTTTATATATATTTATATGTATAAATTTGCACCATTCATACATGGGAAAACTCACATTCACAGCAAACATCATTTCAATGCACTTTCTAAGACAAACTCATCCACTTTATACGCAGAAATTAGTCCAATTCAATCAAATGCAGCAATTCAAATTCAATCCTGTCCTAGTTTTAAACACTTTGGTTCATTTCAGGGGTGAAACAATGTTTTGTCTGCGTCTGGCTTGTCCAGACGTCACTTAGGCCAAAACTCAACTAAAATATGCTGACGGCCAAAAAAAGTATCATTTTTCATAACTAAAATTGCCAAAAATGTTACATATTTTTAAGGTGTTTAAATTAAACTCCAAATTTTTGGTTATTGTTTTGTTATGAGGACCAGATCACAGATCCAGAACTTGCTAAATGACGTCCAGTTTGCATTTCATTTTGAAGAAAATTGACCAAAAAAAAATTTTTTTAAATTTAATTGGTTCTCATCAGCAAAACAGGATCTAAGTCGGCCTTCATTTCAAAACACCTGCTGTGTTTAGTGTAGCTTTTATGCAGCATTTGAAAGCGGGTTTGTTGCCCCAACGTGAACTTTAGAGTCCATGTCAATGAATGGATGGGCTCCTGGTACCATGACAACAGGAGAAACCCAGCAAGCTCAGAAAAGACAATCGCTTTTCTAACTATTTTTTTTTTGTGAGTGGATTTGAGTTTATAGGTCATGGTTTTGTCCTCGTGTTGAATTTATGTTTGGTCAGGGGAGCCGCGCAAAAATCAGTCCATCATTCGCAGAACGGACAGAAAAGAAAAAAAATAAAAATCACAAATCATGGAGTTCTTCCTACATTAAATCATTATTATTATTATTATTATTATTATTATTTTATAGCAGTAGAAGTTCCTTCAGTGGTTTCACCGAGGAGAGAAAACGCCGCTCTTTGACCCGGTTTATCAAAAGACTCCCTGTGAATCCTGCACTTCCATTAATGATACATAATTTAAATGTTTAGGTTTTTTTATCCGATTGCGGTGAGCCTTCAGAAAATATGACGCCGTAATATCAGACGTGTGGCCGTCCGTCCGGCCATCATTTATTTTCTGACTCTTCCGGAAGTCGGAGTGAAAATGTGGACCCGGACATTTCAGCAATCCATCACAGGAAGTCCTGCAGTCCACCTTAAGTAAGTAGTATGTCTCTCACTAAAGAAATCTAACTAGTAATATTTTTTTCATATCATTAAGTTGTGATGAAATAGATAATCTGTGAAATAAAATCAACCTCCTCCTCCTTCTCCCATACACTGCTAAAGCCAGAAACAACCAATCAGAGCCAGGAGGGTCTAGGTCTCAGCGTAGCCCGTCATGAATGCTAACGCTAAATAGCATTGCCACTGACAATGGCGGATAAACAGTTTTCCTAAAAGGGAAAGCTCTATCTCCACATTTAGCAGTGTACACAGTAGGATGATTGACGGCACTAAGACCCTCCTCCTGCCTCTGATTGGTTGTTTTCGTCCGGTTGCTTTTCTTCAGATGGCAGTCGCAGCTCAGGGAGCAGATGGAGGAGAAAGAGTTTTGGACAGTTGTAGAGGAAAAACAACTTTGATTTTTGTAAAAGTCATACATTTACAAATATTTAGCTTAAACAGGCTAAAAACCAAAAAAAACTGCTTTCAGCTTGTTTAACGTTAGCCAACGCTTTCTCCCTCTCTTCTCTCTCTCCTTTAGCGGTCCATGGAGCAGTGTGTGCGGGTTTTAGGTTTTTTCGAGGAAACACCTCTGAACATTCACATTTTAAAGCCTGTTAGTCTTCACAGCCAGCCCAACCCGTCATTACATTAGGGTGGGGTCAGGTGTGGTCTGTTAACGACCACACCGAGCCGGGATGTGTCATTCCACAGTCCCCCTCCGCAGCACAGGCGCCGCCCGCTTCAGCCCCAGTCCCAATATATATATATATATATATATATATATATATATATATATATATATATATATATATATATATATATATATATATATATATATATGCTGCTTGGTACTCTTGAGAGCTTGTTGACTTTTCTCCAGAACATGTGAGGTCATGTCGATGTGTTCCCACCGCAGCAACGCGGCTATTAATGTCAGAGAGCCACTCAGCGTCATCTCGCACGTCCTAAGTGTTTCGGTGTCAGTTGCTGTGGTACCGCAGACGTGATGCTTCCCCGTGGACATTAAGCGGCTTTCAGCAAGCAGGAGGTGGTTCGCTGTTCAGACAACAGCTGATGGTTTGTTCACCAGAACATGGCAACCATCCAGCTGTACAAAATGCCTGGATGGACTTAGCTCCGCCTTCAAACCGTTTTTCTGAAAACTGTCGCCCTCTTTTCCAATCAAGATCAGCAAAATGTAGCTCTTGTGATGTCGCATTATTAATGCTCATTCTGCGCCGCTAATTGATACTTTGTTGTTCTTTTTTGCGCCACCGGATACCGGGAAATGTGTGAGGGCGTGACGCTTTACTTCACAAAGAGCGTTCCTTTGAATTGTTCCCATTTTGTCTTGTTGTGAAATCAATATTTCCTATTGATTTTCAGTGAGAGCGGTACATGGTTTTCAAATTGTTTTACGAGCACAAATCTGAAAAGTGTGGCACATGAATAAACACTTTCATAGGACCAGTATCTGCTAGCAGCAAATCGTTTGTCATATGTCTGCCAGTAGCTTGCGCAAGTTGGAGTTACGAAAATAAATTGTAATGTACTGTAAAAAAAACAACAACAAAAAAGTTTTTGATCATCGTATTAGTGCTAGGATGAGGTGGATATGCAAAACACGCAAACGTGAAATGGAAATACTTTTTCCGCGTCACATGTGATCAACAGCTGGATGTTACTAAAGGAGGGAAAGATGAAGAAAGCGACAGGAAATAGGAGGAGGATGATGGAGTGCTGTGATTTATAGTGATTTGGCATGTGAACAAACTTATTCACGTGATTTTAATTGCATTTCAAATGTAAAGAAATATCACAATTGAAAATTTTATATATATATATAATATATATATATATATATATATATATTATATATATATATATATATATATATATATCATTTTCACCTTTGCCAGGTAGCAGACGCTCATTCGCCTCAAACAATGAAACGAGCTTCATTAGTCCTAATTGTTTGCGTTCAAAGCCTGTCTGCTCCCTAACAAGGTCAGCTCCCCACGTCTGTCTCTGCCAACAGTCTGAGCACCAAAACCCTCTGGTGTGGTGATTCACACCCACACACCTTCTTCCCAGCAGATCAAGATTAAAAGAAATAATAATAAATAACACCGTCCTCGTCCAGCTGTGCTCTTCACCCCTGAGCTGGATTGCAGGTATTGTTAAAATATATATATATATATATATATATATATATATATATGTAGTGTTCTTCTGGACGCAAACGATTTGTTTATTTCTATTTTTGGGTAGCACATTAAAGGGGGCGGAATACAAATCCAATCCAGACTTCCAATTTTTGGACAGTTTTGAAAAGCATGCATGGCTCTCCCTTCCCACTTCACAATCATCCAATACTTCGTTTTGTTCCCGTCAATCTCAATAAAATGCAGTGAAGTTCCAGGTTGGAATGGGGAGTGTGAAAAGTTGAAGGTGTCTGAACACTTTGGTATGAGCTACAAAATGTTTCCAGACAGTGCAATTTCTCTTTGACTTGCTTAAAGGGGCAGCATTATGTATTTTCCAGGCGCATAACACAATCACGTCACTATGTTACGTCCAGGTATTGTTAAAATCTGTTTATATTCAATGTAACTAAAAAAAATTTGACTTAGTAATTTAACACCTTGAAACACCTGCCTCTTTAAGAAGCTCCTGCTCTTTCTGAAACTCCGCCTTCAGGAAGTCGTCACCAGCCGTCTCCTATATTATGAGCTCAGCAGTTAAACCAGGTGTTTGCTAATTGCTGCTGGCTAGTCTGAAGGAGCTCAGTGGAGCTGAAGCTCGGAAACTGAAGCTCAGAGGAGAAGCTTTGTCCTCGAAGGCGGAGCTAAGTCCATCCAGGCATTTTGTACAACTGCATGGTTGTACAAAATGTGACGCGGAGATTAAAGGATTTCTCAGACATGCATAGATGAATCAAATCAACACTCCAGGTATGTTTTGGATGAGGGAATAACATGATGTGAAGCTCAATAAAGTCAGTTTTTCACCATGCCGCCCCTTTGAGCAGCTCACATTTCTGTAAATGTCAGTGTGAGTGCAGCAGGTTTGCCCAAGAACAGCAGTGTGACAGAACCAGTCTGGCTATGAGACGGGCCCATTCCGTCGCGGTGAACGAGCTGCTCTGCTCACCGCAAACATGGTTCCAACTGAGGATTACGTCACTGCCAGAGAAACCACCGACTTCTGATTAGGTAGTGGAAAAAAAGAAGAAGAAAACAACACAAAAACAATAAATTATGTTCAGATTGAACTAATTAGGGAACACAAGAAAAGCAATTTAGCCTTATCACCCTGAGTCATGCCCGACTTATCATTAGAGCACGAGAAAAAAAGTAAAAATGCAACAAATAAACTTTTGAGGCTGCCGGAATAAAAGCTCTATCTCCAAATCAATCGCTTTGATTTACTGCGTCTGCCTTTTATTTGCTCTCTTCTGCAGGACTCTTTGATCGGCCATATTGCTGCCCCAGTGCCACTCTTGAGACAGTGGGAGCGTTTTTTTTTTTTCTCAAGCACGGCGTCGCGAAGATGCTTGTTGTTCAGCAAGTTTAAAGAAGTCACTGACCGCACAGATAAAAAAATAGATTAAAATCCCTAAATAACGTTTTGAGGGAAGGAAAAATAAAAACAAACAAACTTCCCAGTGCAATAAAACACAGTGAAGTGCAACAGGTTTGACAATTTGAAGAGCGTGACGAAGAGGACGAACCGTGCTGCGGCTGCATTGCTCCATGTGCGAGTTGTGGTTCGTTCCTTCCCGCTTCATTGCTCTTCCTTCCCTCTCCTCTGCTGGATCACGCGGGGGCTCTGCAATTAGCCAATTAGCCCGCCAATTAAACGGGCCTGATCATTTTCACCTTTGCCAGGTAGCAGACGCTCATTCACGCCTCAAACAATGAAACGAGCTTCATTAGTCCTAATTGTTTGCGTTCAAAGCCTGTCTGCTCTCCTAACAAGGTCAGCTCCCCACGTCTGTCTCTGCCAACAGTCTGAGCACCAAAACCCTCTGGTGTGGTGATTCACACCCACACACCTTCTTCCCAGCAGATCAAGATTAAAAGAAATAATAATAAATAACATCGTCCTCGTCCAGCTGTGCTCTTCACCCCTGAGCTGGATTGCAGCTTTTGAGATGTTAAGAGAGGCTGATAGTGAGGAGATGAGCAGGGAGAGCAGCAGCCGGCCCAGGATGGGGGTTTTGCTCTCTGAATGCTAATGCGAGGCTTGAGAAATGGCCATTGAAATGCGGGGTCGGCGTGCTTTCTTAGGCTAATGCTCGGGCCGATGAGCGAAAGGTCACTTCTGTGCTAGTCGGCAGGATATCGGAGGGAAGTTTTGTCTGCGACTCACAACTGTACAACTCATGAGCTCATGTAGCTTAGTGAGAGTCTCCTGATCAATGACGTAATCAGTTGGAATTAGATTTTCTTTTCTTTCTTTTTTTTTACCCCCGCTGTACAGAAATGTACAGAAATCTCAAATTTCTGTCCAGTTCCCAAAGTTAGGATATAACTCAAGTGAACAAGAAAAATTATTTAAACATCAGTCGACATAAGAGAAAAACACAAAACTGTACCGAGTGGGTTTTTGTTGTTTTGTTTTTTGACTAGTTTCTAGTCCAAATATGATAGCTTTGTCTTATTTCAGGAGTTCTAACAAAGGGCATGCTTCCAAAAAGTACTCTTTGTTCCAGTTCATTTTATTTCACAGCGTACAAGAGAGTGATTGACAGCACTAAGACCCTCCCCCTGGCTCTGATTGGTTGTTTTTAAATAGCACTGGGAGAAGGCAGAGGAGCTTGACTTTGTTTGACAGATTATCTGCCTGATACCATATTGTCACAACATAGTGACAGTTTCAACAAATACATAAAAAAACATGAAAAATAAAATTACATACTGCAGCTTTGACAGTAAAATAGTCAGTGAGCTGAGATCTTTGGATTCATCCAAGGATCTGTGACAGATTGCTGTGGCAAAAAACTAAAAGTCCTGCAAAGTTTTTTTTAAAGGGTCTTGAAAGAAAGCAGTTCTCGTGAAAGGTCAACTGTGGTGTGTTGCTGTTCACTACTACCACTTCCAGATGTGTTTTTCTGAATAATTACACAGTCACACACGGTTATTTAGACCCCTCAGTGCCCTCAAGAGTTGGAAGGGTCATCAACCAGTGCATAGAAATCAAAATAACTTTGGCATTCAGGAGCTTAAGAGTTCTCCAGTCCAGTCCGATTTTTTTTGCTTTCTTTTTTATTTTTTTAACCAAGTTGGATGTTGGAAATTCCTCAGCCGCAGAAAAGAAGAGAAAAAAAGAAAAGAAAAGCCTGAGACATGTCGTGTCATTCAGAGCTCATTCATGTCTAATTACCATGGCACTAAACCATTTTCTTAGCCTTTGTGGGCCTGTTGAGAGGATGGCCAGGCCCACGCTCTCCCATGCGCACAGCTCCGGCATCCTCCTCCTGCTCCTTCGGCAAACTCAACAGCAGCAGCGGCGGCGGCAGCGGCGGCAGTCACACAGAATGAATGGAGCTGCCTCAGGAATGCAGACACAAAGGGAGGAATGTCATTCTGCCAAGTGCAGCTTATTCCAAACCAAACCAAAGGGACATGTGCACCACACACAGAAGCACCCCACAAGTCCAGGCATGTTCAAAACACAGGGGGTGAAAAGCCTTATGATTTCTCTTTCTCTCCTCCACCCCCACTATAACAGAATACAAACATCAACTTTGTGCCCAATAATTTTTGTACCTTTGATGAATTTTACTGCCCCCCTACTATTAGACATTATGCAGATGACACCTTGGTGTTCTCAGTGTTTCATCAAAAAAAGATGCAACCATTCATAAAGCTTTGAATAGTAGGTTGTGGTTCCTTTATGTGCCAGTGATTCATTCTTCATATTTTATGAATAAAACTTAGGGCTGTCTGGAATTAAAAAAAAAAATCTGTGCTAAAATTAGGGCAAAGGTCTACTTTTAGCACCGATTTAGCATTTTTCAAAGTTAGACGTTTTGCAGACGACACCTTGGTGTTCTCAGTTTCTCCTAAAAATAAAAAAAGACATATATATATATATATATATATATATATATATATATATATATATATATATATACAACAGAAAAAACATACATTCTTCACGTTATATATATATATATATATATATATATATATATATATATATATATATATATATATATATATATATATATATATATCAGTGATTCATTCTTTTCTGGTATGTGAAGAATGAATGCTAAATAAAACTTAGCATTATGTGAAAAAAATGCTGCTAAAAGTAGGGCAAAGGTCTACTTTTAGCACTAATTTATAATTTTTCCCTATTTTTATACTTTATGCAGATGATACTTTGGTATTCTCATCAAAAAGATGTTATTATTCATAAATCTTTGAATAGTATGTTCATATCATTCTTCACGTTTTATAAATAGCACTTGGAACTATAATTTTTTTTTTTAAATCAGTGCTAAAAGTGGGGCAAAGGTCACAGTCAGAAAGCAGCGTCAGGCACATCTACGTTTTTTGAAAACGGCGACAGGTTACATGATGGGTGGCTGCACGGCAGAAACACAACTCCCTCACTGCCAGCAGCACACAAGCCTCTCTGTGTTAGAAACAGGCCTGTATTTTTTTTCACCCCACGGTCACAGAAACATGTCAGGGTTTGAGCCATGTCTGGGGCATTAGTGCCTTGCTAATGCAGCCCTGGACGTTTTGACAGTTTTGCCACATTACAATGGCAAACCTCAGTGTGTTTCATTCGGATTGTTGGTGGTAGGGACGTGATGCGGAGCTCTTCGTCACTTCACAACTGAAAATCAGAAGATATCAGTGTTGCGTATTGATTACTTCTAAGTAAGAGCCGTACTGTACAAAGCTTGTTTGTCTGCTATTAAGTTTTCTCTGCTAGCTTTCATTGTCTCGAGATGAAACTGTTTGTTTGTTCTTTGGGAAATAGTCAGATTTTTGGGAGCATGTGACCATGAACAACAATTTTGAAGTCTTGACCCAGACTCTTGGTTGGATTTAAGTCTTGACTTTGATGAGGCCATTCTAAAACATGACTCTGCTTTGCCCTAAGCTATTCTACTGTGTCTCTGGCTGTATATTACAGATTCTAATATTTAGCGTCCTCCTTTATCATATAAACTCTCTCTAGCTTCTCTGTCTCTGCTAAAGAAAAGCATCCCCTCGGCATGATGTAAGAGTAAAGAGGGGAGGATAAAATTCAGCCTGTCACAATATCAAATTTTGATGGATAATAAATTGTCCCAGAAGTTATCGCGATAAATGATAATATTGTTGTTTTGAGACCAATTTAAAGTAATGCAATGATAATGGTATAATACTGCAAGAAGACATTGTTAAATAAAAATGAACTTTAAATTTTAACGCTGGAAGTGGAGGACATTTTAAATATGCAACATAAGTAAACAAAATGACAAATAAACTGAACAATGAAGTCTGTGTGAACAAAATTGCCCTTAAGAAAAAAAAAACAGCAAGTTGAGACCAAAGCTCTGGACTGAAGACTTTTGTTGTCCAGTTTTTGGTGGAAAGAGAAAAAAGAAAAACAATAAATGATGCAAATGGAAATTATTCAGTTTGTCTTCATTTATTGTGTGCTTAATTGATTTATTTTTTATTATGCCAAGAGACAAATGCACGTCACATTTTAGACTTTATGAAAAACAAAAAACTGAAACTGTGAATAATTCCTCTTCCATTTCTGCTCCATTGGTCTGTTCTGGTACGTTTGTTTTGGTAATGCCAAGAAATAAAAGAAGCGCCGATACTCATGCGACTCCTCAGTTTGTAATGCAAATTTATTTATATATTTTTAACCAGTTTTTATGGTCTGAGATATTTATATGATACAGTGCTTTCCAGTTGTAGATATTGAGTTTTTTTTTTTTTTTCGTTTCTTCTCTTTTCATTTTGTCATTGTGTCCAACAGTGAGCCGAGTCCGTGGCGCCACCCTCCGCTCCAGTCCTGGTTTTCAGCGCCAGTGCCGGCCGGGCCGGTCCGGTCCCTGCTCCGCACTCCGGCCCTGGTGTTCCCGCTCTCCGGCTCTTTGTCCCCCGGAACTCGCTCTCACTCCTGGCCCGTCCACCGGGGCTTTTTTTTTTTTTTCTACTCGCATCTGGATCCCAGTACGAGTCGCAAACAGCCCAGCGTCCTGTGCCGCAGAAACCACGGCGTCTTTAAATTTGGGAAAGAAAGCAAGAAAAGAAAAAGAAGAAGAAGAAGAAACCCTCCGGCAACTTCCTGCGGTCCGCTGTCCTCCCGTGGTTTATCCGAGCGTCCAAGCCGTGAAGCAGTTTGTGTGAGACTGTGATTGTTGCCTCAAGTTGGAGAGAAAGTTTTTCAGTTTTTTTTTTCAGCTCGCCGTTTTCGCACATAAGTTGTTTTTTGTGTTTTCCTGTCGACTCGGGACTCGATGGTCAACAAATACCTGTTGCTTTGAGACGCGCGCGACGTTTTTAACAGGGTTTAGACTTTTCTCCATTTTTTTTTTCTTTTGGCGTTTTTCCTCTTTTCTCCTTTCTCTCCTGGCTCCCAATGTGTCGCCGCCGAGCTGGCCTCGGAGCTGCTGCTGTGAATGAAGTTTCTGTCGAGCTGAAGAAATCTCCACGAGCAAACCGAGACCAGCTTCACCTGAACCACCAAAACACGCCACACACCTGGGAGGCCGCCCGCCCGCTCTGAGCGTCACCGTTTGCGGCTCTTGTACTTTTTGAAAAGCATCTTTTCGTTCCTTCCCCCCACTGAACCTTAAAATGAAGACGCTGTGGGTGCTGTGCGTCGCCTCCACGCTGGCCGTGTTGTCCGTCTCGGCGACCGCGGAGCCAAAGTTGAAGAACTGCAACGAAGTTCGGGAGGCGTTCACGTCCAAAGGCTTCAACATGAACGATGCCCCCAACAAGGTGGTGAACGGTGAGTTTCGCTCCGCGGCGCCGCTTTTCAGCCGCCTTTAGGCGGGGAGGGGAGAAAAACCCTCCATCGTCCAGATTCACCCTCGTTTCTCCCGTTTTTACGCTTTTTGACTTGGCTGTGACGTTCCGTTTCCTGCTCTCGGCTCACGAAAACATGTTAAATATGTCTTTAAAAAAATAACAAAAAACACTTTTAAGTTGAAAACTCCAGCTGCTGTTACATTAAAGCTGCAGGCCAAGCTTGTGCGGAATGAATCAAAATCACCTCAGTCGCTTTTACGGCAGTGTTTTGGCGTGTGTGTAATTATGGAGTTAATACATTTTCATTTACATTGAAAAACAAATTGATTTTCCCCCAGAAACAAACCTCAAGAAGCATGCGCCTCTGGTGACGTCACGGAAGGCACAACTCATCTTTTTTTTTTTTAATTGGCATTTTTGAAACTTGTTGAACTTAGTAGCTCCATTTTACTTGGAAACAGTCAAACATTTGAGAACTGTTTGGTGCAGAATTTCGAAAAGTATGAAATTTGACATCTATCCTTTGAAAATAAATTAAAAGTTTATTAAGGGTGAGATAAAGGTTGAGTTTCCAAGGTTCTTTGTTTTTTCACAGTCTACATTTATGTGTATTTAGATGAAGACCATCATCACATACTTCACAATTTAGATTTGTTTGAACAAACAGGAAAAAAACAAAAAACACCCTTCGAAAGTTAAACTGGTCATTTGTGATTTCAATGCTATTTCTATGAGTTAATGAGTTGTACATGTGGCGTTTATGTTGGATACCTGGTTTTTAGCTGGAGCTAGCTCATAGGTCAAGCAGAGGATTGAAATTTCTACTTAATAGAATTCAGAATCACAAATGAAAGTTATCCGTGTTCGGTCTTGGGTAATCTCGTCCCAGCTTTATGGATTTTAACAGATCCACGTTAACCTGAAAGTCACAAATGGATCTCTAAATAAAATATATGAAGTAAAAACCCAACTAGGTGAATGTTTTGTACTTGAGTATCCCACAAAAAATGTCAAAGTTTTCTACAATGCATTCATTTTTTTGTTGCATGTTGACATAAAATCTCTGGTAGAAAGTGGATCAGATTTTCAGTTCCAGAACCGGTCAGACATAAAATGGACTGAATATATTTCTAAGATCTCCTGCTGTACTGTCAGTGTTGCAGTGGTGACATCTTGCCTCTCCCATAGCTAAACATTGTTTTCCATGTAGGAAATACTTGCAGCTAATTCATAACAATATAAGGGGGTATAATCGACACAAAAGCCCGACTCCCTGCTGAACGAGGCCAGGCCTGTGTTTATTTCCAGGCTTCCTTGGTAGAGGCTCCTGCAGCTGTGAAGTGCAGGCAGCCTGCGGTGATTTAGTAAACATTCCTCGCGAACAAGGCTTGTGGATTTGTCTCCTCTGCTAGTCCTCGCTTTTTGCGGTCGACGCTGGCTCTGTTTGAGCCGAACGTGGCCCAGACGAGGGTGCATGATGGGATCAAGGGCACCGGCGAAGGGGGCCTGATGTGTTGGGAGTTAGACGGGGGCAGGAGGGCAAATCAATGAAGCCAATCATGGGATGCAGCCAAGTAATGGAAACTTGGGTAGGGGGGCTGTTACAGTGAAGGCTTTGAGGGGAAGCGGGGGTTAGCAGGGGAGGAGGATTGAAATTCCTGTGTGCCCTACATACTTAAACCCTCCCCCACCTTTCTGCATCACCTTTTAATTTTAACAGTAGTTAAATGATTAGTGTGTTGTTGGCAGCTGTGAAGTGGCTCCAGGGTTTTTCTTTTTTTGTTACAAGCATGGCCGCTGACATTTTTGTTGTGGCGGCTTGCGTCTCTTATCAAGTTTTGATGTGCGCGGTGTCAAAACTTGGGTTTAATTTCTCTCTCTGTCGTACTCGATGCTTTTTGTTGTTGTTGTTGTTGTGATTTTAAGATTAAAACAGAGCATTTTGTTATCTTATGGCGAATTCCTAGGTCCTTTTTGTACCTTGCTGGGGTTTTTTCTGGTTGTTTCTCACAGAAATCATATCTGCAAATGCCAAACACCACTTGTAGAAGAATCAGGTGTGTGATGGCACGGAGACAAAATGAGCTTTTCAGATGTACACTGCGTTGTAAAAGTATTAATTCCCTTTACATCAGAGGTTCCCATGGCAATACGATACCGATATGGCGACTTTGAGTATTGGCCGATACCGATGTTGACCTAATACAACATCGATGCAAACGATGCATACTTTTATTACTTATTTGTAGCGTGGAAAGTTGGAAAACGCTTGATAAAGTTACAATCAACAACAGTAGTTGAAGAACAACTGACTGGGTCGTTTATCATTTATTATTAACCAGTGGGTCTGCATGTGGGATACCAGCGCTGCTGGATAGAAACGCTGGAGTGGAATCCTGGGGTGGGCTGCTGTCTGCGATTTTAGATATAGTCTGATATAATCAAATTCTTGCCTTTTTATCGGGGGGGGACACAACCAAGATCCAATTGGGACACAACCCTTCTGTTTTTTAAATTATTACAACCACTCCCGTCTCATGGAGGAATATGTGTTACCTTTTGCACTCCAAAAATCAAACTTTTGTGAATTGGCCAAACAATGCTATGTTCAAGAAGAAAACAATGTGGAAGAAGGTCCTCTGATTAACTATTTCGGGTCTGTGGTGGGAAACAAATACCGTGCATCATGATGAATAAGGTGTTAACGGTATGGATTTAGTATTTTATAGCAATATTTTGTGGTGCTATTGAGGTGACGATTAAAAAGAAAAAGTGGATAAAACTGCTATTTATTACTTCATTTGTGGCTTGGACTTCCTGGCACAACATTCACAGCTGCTTAAACACTTAAAAAAATATTTCCACTCCGGGTGTCATTGATATCGCTAAGCAGCACATGCCGACTGCGTTTGACTGTGTTTTTGAATTCACTGATATTTATTGATGCTTTCGTGCACAGTGAAGAATCTAGTAAAAATAACATTTCGTTCAGTCTTTTGTAACACCAATAATTGAAATTTATCGAGATGACAATAAGTCATAGCATTTTTTTTAATGCTAAACAAGGAGTAGACTTTCAGCATATCGTTTATCATTTGTTGTGATACATTTATCAAAAAAAGAAATCGTTTCTAACATTGTCATGATAAATTCCAAATGACTGTGTTTAAACAGCCTGAAACTGTCCGTATTGCCGGGAGTTTTACTATTTTCTCCACTTTTACATGAGAGCATCAATATTATTAAATGCAGCTACTTTGTGCTGTTCAGTGATACAAATTTCACCTCTTAATGTGACTGGTGACCTAAAGTTACCAGAAAATGATGTGATTCATTCTTATCATCACAATACTACCACAAAATACCGCGATAAAACTTTGTCACTGTATGGTCGCCATCCTTACAGTGAAACATGGTGGTGGCTGCAGCATGAGAGGGATGGATGCTTTTCTCACCAGTCTGACTGAGCTTTGGCTTCACATTTTGTGGGCCGAGAGAAGAAGAAGAAGAAGGTTTCTTCTATTTTTGTCTTTTCTTTTCACAGTGTACGAATCTGCAAGAGACGTACCTCAAAAAATGTCAACTTCAGAGCTGTGTTCACAAGAAGTGTGGAAAACCACGGATTATTTTTCTTTCTCTTCACAACTTCTTGTGGTCTTTCTTGCTGAATCCCAATAAAACTCGCTGAAGGTTGCGGTTCTGACAAAACAAAATGTGTTGAAGGGTTATGAATGCTTGAATAATGCGAGACGCTATTCATCCAGGCTTGGCTGTTTTTAATTGATGGACACTAGTAAACGATTCATTGGGGGAGGGAAAGACTGTTGAGTCTCCACATACACCCTCAAAATGTCTGGTTGAACTTCATAATTAAGTAATAATTTTAACTCGGTGAAGTTGTCGAAATGCTCATCCTGAATTAATTTTCCTTTCCGTTCGGCTCCATAAACTTGCGTGAGAACAACACATGGAGAAAGGATTCACTCGCCCGTCTTGGTTTTAATGCAAGTAGGTTTGGACTTACCCTCGCTTTGGTGCAACCACCATAAATCCAGCGTGTGGAACATGAGTTCTCGGTAGAGACCGACATTCAGAGATCGCATTTTGAACCACAAACATCTCGAGTTGTTGTTGGCAGCCAACAGATAAGAATTAATGTGTGTTGCCGTCAAAATTACCCACCGGTTTATCTGAAACCAGATACGAGTCGGCAAAATGTTTTTTAGGCGGTGAAGCTGCAGTGGAAACCCAGACTGCTGGAGTTTAGACAGAATGAAGTGATATGGAGGAACAGCAGGCTTGCTTGGTAAATTCCTCCGTTATCCCATGGTATCAGCTGAACCGCTTCCCATGGAACTGGTTCAAGACTTGGCTTCCAAGTTTTCTTTTTTGTCTGTCTGAGGATGATTCATTTGTGGCTTGTGGTGGAATATTTTGCATAAATTGGGAAGTAAATTTTCCCAACACAGTGAATAAATAATCACGGAAAATGTAAATGGTGGTTTTTGCTGCCTGACTTTCAACTAATAATGTGTGCAACTGTTGTATTTGATTCTTTAAACTACAAAAGGCTTTCACTGGCGAAGATCCTGAGAATTAATTTATTTGCTTGTGGATTAGAAGTAAGCTGGATGTAAGACCATCACCGTGTGAAAACCTTAATATTACGCAGCGTTGTCATGGCATCACATTGTAAACTTGGGCCAACAGCAATGATTATCTCTTCATCTGCAATGAGTTTGATTGTTACAGTTAGTTTTATCATCAGTGCCATTTGTTCTTTTTCACTTGTACTTTGGTGAAAGTTTTCAGGCAGTGTTCCTGTACTTTGTTTTCTATATCAAACGAACTAAAACCTTTGAAAAACCTCTTCACCTGTGGCGGCGCTGGACCAACAACGACTGAGACAAACGACATGAAAATATCTAAAGACGACGCAGAGCGCAACTTTCTTTCACACAAAATGTAAACAAAATCGGA